TCAAACGCCATCACAGAGCACATTTGGGCCTCTGTCCTTTGATTTTCCTCTACTGGGGTAGCCTCTGAGCAGACGCTTAACAAAGCTTTGGTTGAATCACTGCAAAATAAACCCTATTGGGGAAAAACAAGTTAATTACGTATACTGTGGAAAAAATAAAACAAGCCCCCCCCCCCAAAAAAAAAAAAACTATACAGGGTCTGGTGTAGTCCAGGTTGCCCTCAAACTCACTGTGAGGCAGGCGTCCAGCCTCCACCTCCCTCTCTGGAATTGCAGACCTGCCCCACCCGGCCATATGTATGCTGTGCTGGAGACAGAACCCTGTGCCTCCTGGGTTTACAAGCGCTCTACCCTCTGAGTCTGAGCCTTAGCCCGAGATCATCTTTCTCCAATGCGCCTGGCGCTCACTGGGAGTTTCTAGTGCCAGCTGCGGGATCGATCCGTTCCCTGGATTTTTACACGCTCAGCTTGTACATGCCCCTGGGTTCCATCCCAAGCACGACAGCAGAGAGCCAGTGTCTGGGCCCTGCTGCACACCAGGCACGTGGCCCTTTATGAAAGTCAGGCAGTGGCGCACAGCAGGCAGTGGTGACGCAGGTCTTTGATCCCAGCACCCGGGAGGCAGGGCCAGGTGAATCTCTGTGAGTTCGAGGCCAGCCTGGTCTAGAGAGTGAGATCCAGGACAGGCACCAAAACTACACAGAGAAACCCTGTCTGGGGTGTGTGTGTGTGAGACCTCCCACCAGCTAGAGGCCCTTAGGATGTCACCCATTACTATGTCCCTGCTCCATCCTCTGTGGTCTCCTCCCCCGAGTCCCTCTATCACTACACTCCTTCCCTTAGCACCGGAGCCACCTAGAGCTGCCACTGTCACCGTGGCTGACTACCAAATCATGTTTTTTTTGTTTTTTTTGGTTTTTCGAGACAGGGTTTCTCTGTGTAGCTCTGGGCCTTTCCTGGATCTCGCTTTGTAGACCAGGCTGGGCTCGAACTCACAATGATCCACCTGGCTCTGCCTCCTGAGTGCTGGGATTCAAGGCATGTGCCACCGCCTGGCCTTACCAAATCATGTCAAGCCACTAAAGAAAGGACTCTATCTCAGCAGTGTTGCTAAAATTCCTCCCCTGGGATGGAAGCCACATCTGCCCCTCCTCCTAAGGTCTCAGGGACAAATGGGGGTTTGCGTCCACCAAAGGTCACCCAGAGAAACTAACGAGTTCATTGGACTTACTTACAGCGCACATGTGTGAGGGGTTGGGAGCAGGAGTGTGGATGACCCTGGAAAACAGCCACGGTGGAAGGCATGGATAATGACCTCACTGTGGCTACATGGATGAAGTCGGCTTCTTTTATTCCTTTCCTGTTTTCCTTAGCCCCTCCTGGAGGTCATGTGCAGTTAGAACAGAATTGCAGTCAGTTGATTGGGAGGAGTGACTGGATATTTAGGTGATGGTCCCATGAACCTCTGCCCCTCCTGTACAGCAATACCAACAAGCTCAGCTGAAATATTTTGCAAGCTGACACGGTTTGTTTGATGAAGATGGTGGCAGTGTGGTTTTGGAAGGTTGTCCTGTAAAACACTGAGGCATGAGGAGGTTCAAGACTAGCCTGGGTTACAAGGGACACTGTGGGAAAAAAATGAACAGGGGAGGGAGGAAATCTTTAGTTGGAGGTGATGGCTTTAGGAAAAAGGAGTGGAGAGGATGGGGAACTATGAAGAACATGGACAGATGAGGGGAGGGAGTGGTTAATTTTGAGACCTGTTACCTGCTGTGTGTAATCCAGCGGGTGTTGTGGAGGGACCCTTGGCTAAGGATGCAGGGCAATGATTAAGCAAAGATCAGTCTTGGGAGTACGGCAGCCTTCACTAAACCTGGCCCGGTACTGCCGTCTTCGGGGAGAAATGAGCACCGCTTCTCAGAACTGCCAATCTGGAGGCACTTGCCTGCTGTTGGGTCCCCTTTCAATTGCGTACACTGTTCTAGCCCCATGCTTTGACTCAACCCCAATCCGTAAGTGAAATTTTGCTTTGTTTTCGAGACAGGGTCTCTCTATGTAGCTTTGGAGTTTGTCCTGGAACTCAGTCTGTAGATCAGGCTGGCCTCCAACTCAAGATTCGCCTGCCCCTTCCTCCTGAGTGCTGGGATCAAAGGCATGCGCCATCACTGCTGGGCTGAACTTAATATATGAGTGCTCTCCATGTTATGCCACAAGAGGGCATCAGATCCCATCCACTACCGATAGTTGTAGTGGTGGTTGCCGGGAATTGAACTAAGGACCTCTGGAAGTCCTTAAAAGCCAGTGCTTTTAACTGCTGTAAACTTTTAAAAATAATGTTATGAACATTGATTGGAGCATGCATGTCTGTGAGAACATTGGGTCCCCTGGAACTGGAGTTTGGGTCCTCTGGAAGGGAAGCTAGTGCTCTTAACAGCTGAGCCATCTCTCCAGCGCCCTTAGTACCAAGTGTAAAGCCAAATCCTCTCTTCACATGCTGACATGCTTGCACTTGCTGGATTCTAAAGAACACAGTTCTCTAGAAATGTGACCCTGGAGGCTGGAGAGATGGCTCCGAGGTTAAGAGCACTGCTTGCTTCCAGAGGTCCTGGGTTCAATTCCCAGCAACCCTCTTCTGGCTTGCAGGGGTATGTGCAGACAGAACACTGTATACATAATAAATATTTTTTTTTATTTTTATTTTTAATGTATACAGTGTTCTGTCTGCATGTATCCATGCAGGCCAGAAGAGGGAGCTAGATCTCATTACAGATGGTTGTGAGCCACCATGTGGGTACTGGGAATTGAACTCAGGACCTTTGGAAGAACAGCCAGTGTTCATAACCTCTGAGCCATCTCTCCAGCCCCAATAAATAAATCTTAAAAAAAAAAAAAAAAAAAAAAAAAAAAAAGACACCTGTTAGACCAGACTAAGACCACTTATTAAAAAAAAGAAAGAAAGAAAAAAGATCCTGGCTTCCTATGTTTTTGAGAAAGTTTCACCTCTTTGAACAAAATGAAAGCTGTTAGACCTGACAATACTGAGATTTGAAGTGAAAAATATACAAGATGGTATACAGCCCAGCTCTCTTGTCCCTGAGCTAGGACCTGTGTATGCATGAGCTGAACACACACTGGTGTAGGGGCACTGGCTAAGAGCAAAGACAGCAGAGTTCTCATTATATTCTAAACTGAATACTTGAAATGCCAAGTATTACATAAACATTATGAGCAATAGGTCAGCCAGTGCTGGCTGCTAGGCCTGAGAGAAGAGTTAGAGCCCTGGGTACCAGAGTGGAAGAATGGACTCCAATCTTCACCCACGTGCAGGCACACGGCTACAAGTGTTAAAAAAAAAAAAATTCCTTTTACTATGGCAACCATTCTTGTTTTTTGAGACATATATTTCTCTGTATAGCCCACGCTGGCCTTGAATTCAGGATCTGCCTGACCCTGCTGGAATTAATGCTATGTGCCATTTTCAATTAAAAAAAAAGTTTTGTTTGCCTGCTGCCCAGAGGCCCAAAGAGGGTATTGGATGCCCTAGACCTGGAGTTACAGATGAGCTGCCATGTGGGTGCTGGACACTGAACCCTGGTCCTCTGGAAGCCAGTTCTCTAACTCCCAAGTTTGCAATTCTGACATGAGTTGAGGTTGAGGCAGGAACATGATGGCAAGCTCAAAGCTAGGCTGCACTACACTGTCAGCCAGGACTCAAATAAAAGGGTGAATTCCAACTCCATGGCAGAATGTGTGCTTACATGGCTAAGGCTTGGTTATTTCCTTATTTTTCAGTGATCACAGATCCCACTGTGTCTATCCTGTCTACTGAAATTTCTGGTCCTCAGTTGTGTCAGGAATTGGAGGCCAACCTGTGCTGCTAAGAAACCTGGTCTCAAACTGGGGGTGGGGGTAACAAGAGATAATGAGAAAGTGAAGGTGCTGGAGATTAGGGCAAAATATACAAAAAAATGGGGTCATCAGATGACACTGCTGCCATGTCATTATATTGACCAAACAGCTCCAACCTGTAACCAACAA